CCCAGCGTTCCAAGACTGGCTGTCCCAGTGGACGGGGCACCAACTGTAAACAGAAGACAACACACACAGTTTGCATAACCCATTAAATACAGCGCCCCTTTGAAAAGCTCTACCCTGCCTGCTCACCCATCTCCAGCTGGTCTTTATTTGCACTAACCAGGATCACTCTCTAGGTGAAGGATCATCCGGACACAACATGAAAACAGGCAGGCTGAACCCATCAAATAGCCAGAATGCTCTGCGAGCCTTCCAGAATACTTTATCAAGCCAGGTGCCAAGCTACCGTCACTTCTCTTTACCTCTTCTGAATTCCCTAACACGGAACTGCTAACAAATGCTAAAGTAAGCAAAGGGCACCGAACGCTGGCAGGCAGGAAGCGCAATCGCTGCATGAGCCTCCTTGCTAAAGCAATACAGTGTGGCACATGCTGCAGGAAACAATGCCGGTCACTTCTCATTGCCTGGAAACAACCCACCTATTGTCACCTAAGAACAAGGTTTCAGACACCCTGATCAGCAGAGAATGCCCATTAGCTTACAAGCATTCTTAAACACCAAGATTAAGGCCAGCTTTGGGACGAGGGCAGCAATGCAAGCGTTGCAGAGCTACTGACAATACAGGTCGGTATATATGGCTGGTATATATGGCATCTACGAATCACAGCTGATCAGTCAAAAGTAATCAGTGTGGCTTTAACACAAAACTTCTACGTTGTGACTTACGTGACAGGCTCGTGGTGGTAGACGATGTTGGTGCTGAAGAACTCACCACTGATGCAAACAACGTAGGCCCTGTTGACCCAAGAATGGACGTCGTGGTGGTAGAGGCAGTTGTAGCTGCCGTGGATGTTACTACAAACAGAAAAAGTGTAGAACTTGTACAGTCACGCTGAGAGTGGGATACAGATCTACGCCAGTTTTTTTACAAATGCCACTCTAAACTATTTTTTCCTCTTCTTTTGCTGCAACTCTATCTCTTTTCCAATGTACCCCTTTCAACCCGTGGCTCCCTTCCGCTACGCTCGAGCAAGAACTACAGGACAGAATTTGGCACGTGGGACGCAATCAAAAATACAGGATACGAAGTTCAAGGGCTGTATGAACTGCCACAGACTACTGACGCCATTGCAAATGCACAGCGACAAACGCTTCCAGACCAGTTCCAGACTCCGGTTTAGAAAACCATTCCCAGAAGGACAGCAGATTCACAAAACCTTGAGCAACTATTTCCTAAAATCACTTCCTACCTCCAAGTTTGGTTCCAAAGGACAGAGCAGGTCCCTGGCTGGTACTAGTGGTCAGCGTTGCCGTGGGTGTGCTAGTGGCCGCTGTTGAAGGCAATGACCCAAAATTTAGACCTGGAACAAGGAAAAGACAAACCTTTTACTACAGAGACACTGTAGTTTCCACTCTGCACAGCAATAAGCAAATTAGAAGCGGTAAGAGTATAAGAAAAAACATTAACAGCCAATGTAACAAACACACTGCCTTATCCAGGAAATGAACTGGGGCTAGCAAGCTCATCACGTAAAAAGACTTTCACGAATGATTCCAACACAGATGAACATCACCCTCGCCCCAGAGCTGATGACCTTCCCTACAAGGCCTGCACTGGCACCAACAAGGAAATCAAAAGCTGCAAACTGAACTTCTGCCAGACTCTACAGGAGCGGGCAGCTTCCTGCCTCTGGGAACGTAAACATCACAAAAAACGGCCAGACCAAGGTGCTGTCCTGAGAACCTTCCCCAAATACAGGCTTTGCTTAGCCAGGCTGGCCTAGACAGCAATGTGAAGAAGCAAACGGATTCAGGCACACCTGCTGGGATCCCAATGGATGGGGCTTTCTGTCCGTATTACCTGCTGGCCTCTAAGAAAACAAACGACCAACGCAAGTTCAATAAGGCATGAGGTTGCAGTCGTCTACTTCCCACAAAAACCGGGTGCCAAAGGCTAAGCACCAATTGTTACTCATCGCTGAAGACCCTGGATAAACATACCAGAAAACCCACTTCTGATGCCAGCCAGCGCTTCACGTCACACCAGCAGCAGCAGGGGGCTGCAGAACCTCCACACCATCCCCAGCTGCCCTCCCTGCTGACTGGCTTCCTGACTACAGCTGCCACTTCAAGCCCAGGCACTCACCTGCTGACTGCCCTCCAAGGCTGAAGGGGGCTGTTGACTGGGTCGCAGCTCCTAAGGTGGCAGCAGTGGTGGCAGCAGCGGCAGGCGCTGCTCCAAAGGTCAACCCTGCGGGCGCTGCTTGCGGAGCTGCGGTGCCAATGCTGAAGCTGGCTGTTCCGGCCTGAGTTGTGGTACCACTGGAAAAAGTAAACCCTCCAGTTGTCCCAGACTGAGCGGCGGCGGTGGTGGCGGCAGTGGTGGTGGTGGTGGTGCCAGCAGATCCAAACACAAAGCCAGAAGCGGTTGCCGCTTGACTTGAGGGCACGCTGGTTGGTACAGAGCTACCAAATCCAAAGCCCCCTGTGATTCCAGTAGCTTGAGTTGCAGTGCTGCCTCCAAAGTTTAACTTTGGTGCGTTTGCCCTAGAGAAGAAAAGAAAAGAAGCCAAGCCATTTGAGACGTGCATCCGGTCAAGCACCGAGTCGGCTTTCTTACAGGCCACTTGCTGACAGCAGAAACCACCTTTCAAAAAGATGTGCGCTTGACCAGGTTTACGCTTCAGTTTTGACAAAGACTGTGGTCGTCTGCAATCCTCTGTTAAGTCTCTTTATACTGACTCCCCCTTAATCACCTCCACCCGTCCAGGCACCGGAAGACACTTACGGCAGCGTAAGCAAAGTTGCTCCTTCTCCCAGCTCCTAAGCACCCTTTTTGCTTCCTCTACATGAGACTACTTCTTTTCAACTAACTTCTACTGCTAAGCCCCATCTGAGCTCCCCTCCCACTGCTCCCACCTGGCAAGCTTCAACAACAGCAGGTCTGAAGAATCACCTCCAAGCTCGCAGCCTTTCCTAAGGACAGAAGGGCCCCACTCGGCTGAACAAACATTCTCAGCGCTCCAGGTTCAGATCAGAAACGACAAGACGTTTCATGCTCGGACGCAGGGTTTTATCACTTATCATAGCAAGCGCCTGCGCCCCAGTTACCGGCTGAAGCGTGGAACAGCTGCTTCTCAAAACCCCTCCGAGAAGGTCAGCCCCGACAAGCAACAAGTCTCCCCACACGCTTGTCTGAACGCGCCACGGGGCAGGGGCAATTCCGAGGCACGAGGCGACAGCCTGGCTGCCTTCAGAGCTGCTTGCAAAGCAACGGGGGGGCCCCACCCGCTCGTGCCCCCCGCGGCCACGGCCCCTCGGCACAGCCATCACCCCCGCCCCGGCACCGG